TTGTCAACCGTATAGTACTTTGTTTTTTTTTTTTTTTTTTTTTTTTTGACAATGTAGCACTTCGTTTCTTATCAGCTTTAAATACTCATGGACAAAAGCTAAGGAAGTAAATCCAAAAGAAAAAGCAGGCTGGAATTGGACTTAATGGCCTCAATGGCGCATAACCAGCTGACACGTATACTGAATTGTGTTGGAGGGGATCTCTTCCAACACTAAAATTAAGAACGAAGAAGAAGAATATAAACCCTACATCTGAATTTTACTTTTAAAATATTTTGCAATTAAAAAACAAAATTTGCTTCCTAATCAAGAAAAACCCCAATTATTTGAAAACCTTTAAAAATCGAATTATTTAAGCTCCGGCCTAACTCAAGAGATCTAGAGAAAGCACACAAAATACCCCTTCAAAATCGAAACAAAATAAATTTCTATCTTTTCTTTCTACCAAACCTCAGCAGCCTTTTACTAGTGTATAGTAACGTCTGGTTTGGGTGTGTCCCGGTGTTAGGTGTCTATTGGGAGACACTATACGATATTAGCTTCAATAGTGAAGTTGAGATTATCGGATTAACTGGCGCACGTTCTACTACTAAAGACAAAGATGGTTTTAAGCATCAATACTAATCTTGAGATTATCGGATTACAAATCGCATGTTCTACTACTAGAGCCCAAAAAATGCTCTTCAGCTTCCACACCGAACTCAAGTTTATCGGATTATCAAGCGCATTTTCTACTACTAGATCACCAAGATCATCTTGATTTCAATACTGAGCTTCAGATTATCGGATTAACTAGCGCATGTTCTACTATAAACCCAAAGATTATCTTCAGCTTCAACAATGAACTCGAGATAATCGCATGTTATACTACTAAATCTCATTGATGCTCTTAAACGATAATACCAAACTCGATATTATCGGATTATCAAGCGCATGTTCAACTACTAGAGCACAGTTGCTCTTCAGCTTAAAAAGCAAACTTGAGAATTTCGGATAATCAAGTACACAGTTTTCAACAACAGCCAAAAACATTGGCTTGATCACAACAATCTACGGTATAAAATTGATAGACTAAAACTGACCAGTTTTTTGAACTTCTTAAATGTCCATCGGACACTTTCAACTTTAAAACATGCGTGCGTGTTACATAAACCAGTTTTTATTACAGTTACTGACACTTATAGTTTAGGGATTTTTAAAAGTTGTGATTTTAAAAACCATTAGCTATTTTTGTCTTTGAACAAATGTGATGTTTCTATATTGACAAAAATGTTTTTTTCCCCCAATGAAAATACACATCTTAACAAAATATCCTACTGTTTTATGATGCCGGTGTAATGTCAGGTTGACCTTATTAAAAAAAATTGGCTCGAATCCGTTTTCATTATTTAAAATTACTTTAAATTTGGGTGGGGGGGGGGGGGGATGGGGTGAGGTTGTTAATTACACGCTGCCGTAGCAAATGTGTAAAACTTCTATTAATTTACACAATGCTGCATTAGATGATAAAATTCCCGATTTAACTTATTTACGTCAGATGGACAAAAAATGTTTATTTAGAAAAGAAATCTATTAAGTGAAAAAAATCAATATCCTTTGTGGTTAATTTCGCTACAATCGTTTTAACTTTTTAACTATAACATATTTTTTTTACTGATTAATCTTTTTTGTTTTGTTTCCAAATCTCAACACAAGTTAAACTGTAGGCTTTTATTTTAATTGTCAGAAAAAAAAATTAAAAAACTCCACAACATTGCACAAATTATCTCATGCAACCAACCAATCAATAAATTCCGTAAGTTTTCTTAACCAATGTTTACATTGGACAGACGCGGACCAAAAACTAAATCTCTAACTAATGTTTATTTTAAGTTTAAGTAAAAAAATGTCCCAAATTTAAACATTCATTATATTTACAATATTTACTCTAAACCAGACCACGCATAGACGGTGTGTTACTAAATTTAGAACTCGTTAGCTAATCACGTGATTAATACCGTTTCCGGACAGCACTAACCTGACCTTTACAAACGAACCAAACGTTTATTTTTAGCAACTGTTGGTTGAGAACTACGGGCATCACGTGCCTGAATTCACTTAACTACAACTTTGGTGTCGACCAACTGCAGGGGAATTATCCTTGAGCTGAATTTAATTGGGTCGCAGAAGTTGACGGTGATGACGGAAAACGTGTTTAATGAGTTGTGTTTGAACACAGACGTCAAGAGATGACATGTTCCGTTATTTACTGTCACATCAAACCCAGTTGGATGACGTCACTCGTGACGAGCGTGGCAATGTCGGTGCCATCAAAGATATGATATTCTGCTTGGTAAACAGAGATACGTCATTAACCCAGAAAACTGCATTCGTTTATTATTTTTTTTATAACCAAATGCCAGGAACCTGAATTTTAATACATCCTTTTCGGAATTCGCAATTTAAAAAAAAGTTCTACATATTTATTAATACCATTGGTTAGGTAATATACAGTAAAAAATACAACAAAATTACTTATATAAGGATATAATATTATAAGGTGCTGTTGAAAAGTGGACATACAAACACAGAAAAGTTGACTTAAAAGTTCTAGGATATGTGTTGTATGTTAACGTACAGTAGGCCTACCGTACATTGACATAAGCTATGGCTGACATAATTTCAGAGTTAATTTTTTTTCAATACGTCATTCAAATATTCGATCTTCGAGAAATGACATCGAAAGTGACGTTATAATCGTATTGAACTGCCAAAGGTTGAAGTCAGTACAGCGGGTGATGGGCATATCGAGAACCAATAACACGGAATTAGTGCAACGGACCTGCGGTTATTAATGCTGATCCTCCTTATTCCCCTCATGTCTTTACGGGAATGGTATCTAGTTTACCGAGTTGTGTTTGATTTAATTAACTTACTCACGCTAGAGTTAAAGTTGGTTAAAGTTAGGAGATAAAGTAATAAAATTATGAGTACTTTGTAAATATTTTGTGACAATTTGATGATAGGTTTTATGTGGTACTAAAGTGCGGGAAGTAATTAAGCGTTAATCAACCTCGTGTAATTACCTCGTAGTTGCTGCACCCGTCACCCTTGCTGGCTACGGTCGAGTTGGCGAGAATGACGTCAACGAAGTCAGTGAACGCCGGACTGTCGGGTGTGACGTCGATGGTCAGATCCAGTAGACCTTGACGTTGGGACATACAACAACAGGCGATTAGTTCCCAGGACTGTAAGGGTCTCGTCTGCTAGTAAAAACTTTGCACTTTTCCCTTGATATTCAGTGTATCGTACAGTCAGTGGCGTCACTAGGCGTGTGCACTAACCAACAAGTATCAGTATACACATTCCCCCTCCCAATGGTGTCACCATAACCCACACCACTCCAACCCCCGTTTTTGTGACGCTACGGACCACACAAGCTTAATTCTGATATATATATATATATATATATATATATATATATATATATATATATATATATATATATATATATATATATATATATATATATATATATATATACTAGCTGCATTCTCGTGCTCCGCCACGGTAAATCTTTTTTAAATGTACAAACTTGGGAACAGAACAACAAAACTAAACACAACACAAACACAAAAGAAAAGGGTACAAGCATACATGCTGTGTTTTACCTGTAAGGTGGGTGCAAGCATTAAAGCTGTGTCTCACCTGTGAGGTGGGTGTAAGCCTTAAAGCTGTGTCTCACCTGTGAGGTGAGGACCATTCAGTGAGCTCTGGGTTCTCTTCCCCATATTGGCAAAGTCCACGCTGATGAAGACCCTCTGGCCGTCTAGAAGCTTCGAGTCGCTGGCAGACTTCATGAAGCGGAGAACTTCAGTGCCGGGCATCAGCAACAGGAATACTATGGGCAGAACAAGGGCATCAACAACAGGAATACTATGGGCAGAAGGGCATCAACAACAGAAATACTATGGGGAGAAGGGCATCAACAACAGGAATACTATGGGGAGAAGGGCATCAACAACAGGAATACTATGGGCAGAACAAGGGCATCAGCAACAGGAATACAATGGGGAGAAGGGCATCAACAACAGGAATACTATGGGCAGAACAAGGGCATCAGCAACAGGAATACTATGGGGAGAAGGGCATCAACAACAGGAATACTATGGGCAGAACAAGGGCATCAGCAACAGGAATACTATGGGGAGAAGGGCATCAACAACAGGAATACTATGGGCAGAAGGGCATCAACAACAGGAATACTGTGGGCAGAACAAGGGCATCAGCAACAGGAATACTATGGGCAGAACAAGGGCATCAACAACAGGAATACTATGGGGAGAAGGGCATCAACAACAGGAATACTATGGGCAGAACAAGGGCATCAACAACAGGAATACTATGGGCAGAACAAGGGCATCAACAACAGGAATACTATGGGCAGAACAAGGGCATCAACAACAGGAATACTATGGGCAGAACAAGGGCATCAACAACAGGAATACTATGGGGAGAAGGGCATCAACAACAGGAATACTATGGGCAGAACAAGGGCATCAACAACAGGAATACTATGGGGAGAAGGGCATCAACAACAGGAATACTATGGGAAGAAGGGCATCAGCAACAGGAATACTATGGGGAGAAGGGCATCAACAACAGGAATACTATGGGGAGAAGGGCATCAACAACAGGAATACTATGGGGAGAAGGGCATCAACAACAGGAATGCTATGGGGAGAAGGGCATCAACAACAGGAATACTATGGGAAGAAGGGCTTCAACAACAGGAATACTATGGGCAGAACAAGGGCATCAAGAACGGGAATACTATGGGGAGAAGGGCGTCAGAACTTTCAAGTGAACGCGCACTTAAATTTCAAGGATTTTGGGGGGGGGGGGGGTGGTTCACTAGTTAGAAAATATATTTTCTATATACATTAAATTTTCCTATATAGTGTGCGAGGAAGGGAGGGGGGAGTGGCTCCCTAGAGAGATGCACAAAAGAACCTCAAGCTTTAAATTCCTTTAAAACGGCCATCTTTCTTCTTTCCCTTATTGGACATCCCTATATTAAACAAAATCTGTTATCATTTCTTAAAAGTATTTGTTCAGTCCCAGCGCATGAAAAATTAATTTTAAGAAACGTCGTAATTTTGTGTTAACAATTTAATTTATTCGGGAACTGCCTCGCCAATATTAAATATTATTTTAGATTTCAAGGCTGCCATAAACTTAAAAGTGCAATCTTCGTTCAATAAGCAGTAATGTAGAGGATAGAATAAAACGTTGTTTCAATAGGGCTGGTAAGTAGGTCATCAACCAGTTCTATGGCTTATTCAGGTTTTATTGAGCCGTAGAACTGGTTGGTGACCTACTTACCAGCTATATTGATTTAAAATTCTCGCTAATATTTAAGTAGGCCTACAGAAATTGATTTTTTTTATTTAAAAAAAATTGTCATAACTGATTAAAAATAAAAATGTAAGTAGGATAAAAGTATTTATGGTACAGAGATGAAAATGTAAGTAGTTACGTTAAAGCAGTACTATTCAGTATAAACTCAAGCCTGCTGAACTTTTAATGTAATTAGCATCGCATCACTTTATCCTCGATGCCATAATTTAATATCTACCGAAATAGACCTGAGGGTCGTTACTTTAACGACGTTTAGCAAAATTTTAATCAAGTTTAATCATAATGAACTTTTTGACATAGTTGCACCAACACAGATTTTACCCTAATCTCATGCGGCGTATACATAAGTCGTTGCTTTAACCGAATTGTTACCGTAATTATCATAATACTATATTACCTTTACTACAGTGTAAATGTTGCCGTAGTTATCCCAGAATATGACCGCCACTGCTACTACAGATGTTTTGTGTTACTGTATTTAGTAATGTCGGAACGGAGGGTTTGGCTGCTATTCCGAAAGTCTCGAGTTCGGATCTCGGCTCAGATTTGTGGTTGTAGAACGTACCTGAGTCCACCCAGCCCTGACGGGTACCTGACTTACGTTGGACAAGGTAAAGGCGGCTGGGAATAGTACTGACAACACCAACTCTTCATATGACGAGGTCAAGATACTTAAAATCTCAACTTCATCTACCCAATAGATCGCTAGGTCTAGAGAGGGACTTATTAATGACGCCAATAAGAGAGGTTTTACCGTAGTTGTTCTGTACTTGTGTAATCCCGCCCATGCTGGAAGCGATGGTACCCAGCTCGTTGTCTCCCAGGCTCCACACGTCACAGACAAAACTGCCCTGGAGAGCTTTCTGTAGGAATAACTTAGCTGTATTAGTAAGTTAACATCAAACTTTTCAAAGAAAAATTTGCTCAAACACATGGACTTTTAACAGCTGAGGAAGCCAAAACCTCGCACGTTCATGTCGTGTATATATATATATATATATATATATATATATATATATATATATATATATATATATATATATATATATATGATTCGTGTTTTTAATGCCGAGTACTGTTTATGGAGTTGTTGATCAGAGAAGCTGAAAGCTAAAAATATTTACTGATTGTTTTTTCTTAATTAACCAAAACAGGAGACGGAGCCATGTTTGTACGACCAGATAGTAGGCGGAGCCATGTTTTACAGATAGGAGGCGGAGCCATGTTTTACAGATAGGAGGCGGAGCCATGTTTTACAGATAGGAGGCGGAGCCATGTTTGTAAGACCAGATAGTAGGCGGAGCCATGTTTTACAGATAGGAGACGGAGCCATGTTATACAGATAGAAAACGGAGCCACCAGATAGGAGACGGAGTCATGTTTATTCCCACCAGAGAGGAAATGAGATACAGTCCGTGAATCTCCTTATAAAAGACACAGTCCATTTTTCCTCTACAACTGCCCTACTTTTCTTTCATCAAGAAACCATAATATCTCTGGAAACTTTAGACGTGTTAAATGAGCGGTCTATAAATAAACACGGTATTGTTTTCCTTCTATTTCCGTCCACAATAACAATTACCTGTGTAATTTAAACAAAGCCATTAGAAATTCTTTATGGAGCGGATTTTAAGAAACAACATTTTATTTTACACAGATTGATACAGAAATGAATTGTAATACAATTAAAACTAGACTTACTTGAAATAGCGTTAAGGCGTAGCCCACAAATTTAAGGAATTGCTAGCATGTTTTCTATAGCTCAGCTAATGGAATTAAAATGCTTTAGCCAAATCTCAGACTAAAAATTGTAAATCACTTTTTTTTAAAAATAGAAAATACAATTTTCTTAAGAAAATGGTGAGAGAATTCTAAGGCAAACCACACCTGACTCCGACAAGAGTAGCTAACTTGTAGGGTAGGGACGGTGGTGGGGGCCGTGGGTTGATCATAATGAAATAAATCTTATGTAATTACAATTGGGAAATATTACATTAGGGAAAGTGTGTGTGTGTGTGGGAGAGGGGGGGGCTTACGTGGGTTGTAAGTGGTTTCTTAAGTAACCAAAACTAGCTCACCTTGTCTTAAATGGAATAAGTTCTATAAATAATATCTACGACGACTATTACATGTCAATATAACCTGACTCGACAGAGGTAGAGCACTCACTCAATCCTACCTTTACTGAAAGTAAATTGCATACCGCGCATGTAATGCGCAGTTACAACCTTGACATTGCAACCATCTAATAAAATATATTTTTTTCTTCCACTAATACGTTGGCTAATAAGAAATTTATAAGATATTTACTCCACACTTATTGAATTATTTCCAGTGGGTCTATTAATGCGACAAGGTCAACGGTGTATTATGGACCAAGGTCACGGTATATCGGCCATCTTATACATGAGAGAACAATGACCTAGATATCCCCACTGGGCACGTGCGACACGTGACAGACGACAGATCCAGTGTCCAGGTACGTCATGCATTTTTTCCATACCTGCTTACCTTTTGGTTCACCTGCACGAGATCAATAAGAAACGTCCAGGTTTCAATCAAACTCTGGCACTGAAATCACGGCTATAATAGACGGCTGCGGGGGGTGGAATCTGCTGGAATTATACGCTGGCCAGATTTTTTTAAATTTTTAGATCGAGTTTATTTTTCTCTGGAGGTTTCAAAAATCAAATCATTTTTTTTTTTTTAAACTTGCATTGATTTTTTTAAATGTGTACAATTTAGAATATTTATACTGCCTTTAAATAAACTAACATTCTTCTACACAGCAAAAAAAGACAACATTTCTTTTAAACAAGAATAGGACCAAGGCAACATTTCTGACAAACAAGATAGGACCAAGACAACATTTCTGACAAACAAGATAGGACCAAGACAACATTTCTGACAAACAACGATAGGACCAAGACAACATTTCTTTTAAACAAGAATAGGACCAAGGCAACATTTCTGACAAACAAGATAGGACCAAGACAACATTTCTGACAAGTTACGATAGGACCAAGACAACATTTCTGACAAACAACGATAGGACCAAGACAACATTTCTGACAAACAACGATAGGACCAAGACAACATTTCTGACAAACAACGATAGGACCAAGACAACATTTCTCCTTATAAGTACGGGACAACTTTTCGTCAGTAATCTCCATTTTCTGATATTCTCTACAGCTCTGGTCAAGTTATTCCAGTTTCTCTCTCTTTTTCTTGACTGATCTCTTCCCGCTAGCTTGTTATTTCTTGTTTTTAATTTACTCCGACTTGTAGATTAAATTCTAATTCCTATCTAGGGATTATTATATCTGGGTTTTGACGGGTTACTGTTCGCGTCACTACCGTCCTAGTTCAATTACTACTTTTTTAACAAATATCACCTATGCGTATATTTGAATTTTTTATCATGACAATATATTTTGAAGAGATATCTCATTAATTTTGTAAGCTTTTTATTATTAAGTTTTATTTCAATGAGTTTCTCAATAATTGTTTAAGCTCTAGAGCTTAGGTTTTTCTGTGTTGGTCCCCTTCCATATTTCTGTACCACAGAGTAAAGCAGAGTTCAGATCATTGAGAATACTGAACATAACGACAGTCAAGCGTAAATACACTAAACATGTTTTTACAAAATCTTTAAGAGACGAAGACTTTAGATTAAGCCAGAAAAAGTAAGAATTTCGTGTACTATTAAATGACCCTTAAATTATTTTTCTCAGAGAAAACGACGACACGAACAACTTATTAACTACAACAAATATTGATAAGTCGGGTTTCCGTCTATATACTCAAACTGGTCTATTTTGTTTACCAGTATAAAAAATGTACCGTCTGCACGCACCTAGTTCATATTGTAATTAGGTGGAGCACAATTTTTAAGCTAAAAAATTGTTAAGTAAAACTCGGTCTCATTTGGTTCATTGACTTATATTGATTTTAGTTTTTTTTTTTCACCAAGAGAGTAAGAAATGCTTTCTTGCAGACCAGAGAGGTAATTGCAGGTTGTACAGTCAATTTGTTTTGTTGCTAAATTAGATTTATTTAAAAATTCTACCCTACTGACTATACTAGCTGGTACTACAGTGGACTGGAATCTTCATGTTTTTCGGCTTTGTAAAATAAAAAAAATATTTACTTACAGGAATTAAAACGATTTCATTGTTTGGAGTTTGCTTTTAGGTTATATTTTGTATGACAATGTTATTTGATATAATGATCGGTTAAATGTAAAAAAAAAAACAATTATAAATATTTCAAAGCAATTTGTTTTTTTGTTTTTTTGCAAGACCATCCTATCCTTTACACGGGTGCTAACACTAATAGTAACACATAACCTAATTTTCATCGCAACTCCAGCCCTGAACATAACCCTAACCGTAATACCAGCAGAATAAATAAATTATAAACGGTGTTTATTGTCCCGTCTGATGAATCAAGTCACGTGATTTTCTGTCTATTGTCACACACCATAAAGGTCGAGTGATTAGATTTTACATGCTATCACTTGTCACATGGGCTAATGTTAATCCGCTCCTGGATGGGCGACTGTCGTGTTATCATTCCGCCGTAATAATTCGAATGCTCCGCAATCCATAGCTTTTTTGAATTAAAACGTCCGACTTTTAAAAACGTAATGTACCTTTTAAAAACATATAAATCATTGGACTAAATAATAAAAGCGCATCGGCTTCCTTGACCTCGGCAAATGAGTTTCTTCCAGGCCACTCTTCTGGGGTGCTCCGCCCGCACGCCCCCCCCCCCCCTCCACCCCCACCGAAGAAAGTCTACCCCCACCCCCCACCAAAATGGAATTTATATAGGAAATATATACTTTTACCATTGTCCGCCCCCCCCCCCCCCACGGAAAATTTAGTAATACTAGAGTCTAGCCTTACCAACATTTCTGCTTCCGTCTCCTGTCGTATTTTTATACAAGAGTCTAGCCTTACCAACATTTCCGCTTCCGTCTCCTGCCATATTTTGGATGACGTCGTGACCAGGAGCAGACGAGACCAACCAAAATGCACCAAGATGTCTTTGATAAAACCGGCCATTGCCACGTAGCTGCCTGACGTCCTGAGAGAATAGGAGTTGTAACATAATATCATAGCTTTTAATACGAATTGTTGTAACAGAACTTAATAGCTTTCAATACAAGTTCTTGCATAAAAATATAATAGCTTTATACACACGAATAGTTAGAATAAAATTTGGTAGATTTTAATATGAACTGATTTTTTAAAAAATATAATGATTTTAAAATGATTTGTTGTATTAAAATATAATGATTTTAATACAAATTGTTGTATTAAAATATGGTAGTTTCAAATCAGAGTTGTTATTTCAAAACTAAATGGCTTTCAATACTAATCATTATGGTAAAAATAACATAGATTAGAAATAGCTATATTGTAACAAGAAATATGAAATGCCACAAACACATATATATTACAAATAAAATATTGCAGAACACAAAGTATGGTTGATAAAAAAAATACAACAATACTTTGCTGAAATCGTTATGCTTCATTGCTCGATTATTCTTATTAAAATTTCGTTAAGGGTAATATATATAAAAGTGTACGATACCATTCAAGAATAGCATCAGTACTAGAAATTCTTTATTCATTAGTGTGCTACACCAGTCTATCACTACTTTAGTACTAGGATTGTGTATCCACTATTGACGTGAGTGCTATACCACACTACCACTACTTTAGTACTAGGATTGTGTACCCACTAGAGTGCTATACCACACTACCACTACTTTAGTACTAGGATTGTGTATCCACTAGAGTGCTATACCACACTAGCGCTACTTTAGTACTAGGATTGTGTATCCACTAGAGTACTATACCACACTACCACTACTTTAGTACTAGGATTGTGTCTCCACTATACCACACTACCACTACTTTAGTACTAGGATTGTGTATCCACTAGAGTGCTATACCACACTACCACTACTTTAGTACTAGGATTGTGTACCCACTAGAGTGCTATACCACACTACCACTACTTTAGTACTAGGATTGTGTATCCACTATACCACACTACCACTGGTTTAGTGTTAGGATCATCAATCCAATAGAGTGCTATACCACACTACCACTACTTTAGTACTAGGATTGTGTGTCCATTAGAGTGCTATACCACACTACCACTGCTTTAGTACTAGGATTGTGTGTCCATTAGAGTGCTATACCACACTACCACTGCTTTAGTACTAGGATTATGTATCCACTAGAGTGCTATACTATTCTACCACTACCTTAGTACTAGGATTGTGTATTCATTAGAGTGCTATACCACACTACCACTACTTTAGTACTAGGATTGTGTATCAACTAGAGTGCTATACCACTCTACCACTACCTTAGTACTCACCTGAGAAAGGTCGGGTAGGTTTCTTTATTTAGCAGCGTACTCTCCTCACAACCATAGCTGACCATGGGGATTCCCCACCGTCCAATCAACAAGCCAGCCGTCTCACACACCTCCTCACAAGATGGACCTGTGAATTTGACAAATCAGGTTCAACACAGGTAGAGCACAGGCACAATGTACGTACAACACAGGTACAGCACAGGTACAAGACAGGTACAACACATGAAGAGCACAGGTACAATGTATTACAGCACAGGTACAACACAGGTAGATTACAGGTACAATGTATGTACAAGACAGGTACAAGACAGGTACAACACAGGTACAACACGGGTACAACACAGGTACAACACAGGTACAACACAGGTACAACACAGGTACAACACAGGTACAACACAGGTACAACACAGGTACAACACAGGTACAACACAGGTACAACACAGGTACAACACAGGTACAACACAGGTAGAGCACAGGTGCAATGTATGTACAACACAGGTACAACACAGGTACACCACAGGTACAACACAGGTACAACACAGGTACAACACAGGTACAATGTATGTACAGCACAGGTACAACACAGGTACAACACAGGTACAAGACAGGTACAACACGGGTACAACACAGGTACAACACAGGTAGAGCACAGGTACAATGTATGTACGACACAGGTACAACACAGGTACAACACAGGTACAAGACAGGTACAACACAGGTACAACACAGGTACAACATAGGTAGAGCACAGATACAATGTATGTACAACACAGGTACAACACAGGTACAACACAGGTACAAGACAGGTACAACACGGGTACAACACAGGTACAACACAGGTAGAGCACAGGTACAACACAGGTACAACACAGGTACAACACAGGTAGAGCACAGGTACAATGTATGTACAACACAGGTACAACACAGGTACAACACAGGTACAACACAGGTACAACACAGGTACAATGTATGTACAGCACAGGTACAACACAGGTACAACACAGGTACAACACAGGTACAACATAGGTAGAGCACAGGTACAACACAGGTACAACACAGGTACAACACAGGTAGAGCACAGGTACAACACAGGTACAACACAGGTACAAGATAGGTACAAGACAGGTACAATGTATGTACAACACAGGTACAACACAGGTACAACACAGGTACAACACAGGTAGAGCACAGGTACAACACAGGTACAAGATAGGCACAACACAGGTACAATGTATGTACAACACAGGTACAACACAGGTACAACACAGGTACAACACAGGTACAACACAGGTACAACACAGGTAGAGCACAGGTACAACACAGGTACAACACAGGTAGAGCACAGGTACAACACAGGTACAACACAGGTACAACACAGGTAGAGCACAGGTACAATGTATGTACAACACAAGTACAACACAGGTACAAGACAGGTACAAGACAGGTACAACACGGGTACAACACAGGTACAACACAGGTACAACACAGGTACAAGGCAGGTACAACACAGGTACAACACAGGTACAACACAGGTACAACACAGGTACAAGGCAGGTACAACACAGGTACAACACAGGTACAATGCAAGTACAACAAAGGTACAATGTGGTAACAACACAGGTAGAGCACAGGTACCATGTGTGTACAACACAGGTACAACACAGGTAGAGCACAGGTACAACACAGGTACAACACAGGTACAAATCAGGTACAACACAGGTACAACACAGGTACAACACAGGTACAACACAGGTACAACACAGGTACAACACAGGTACAAGGCAGGTACAACAAAGGTACAATGTGTTAACAACACAGGTAGAGCACAGGTACCATGTATGTACAACACAGGTACAACACAGGTAGAGCACAGGTACAATGTATGTACAACACAGGTACAACACAGGTACAACACAGGTACAACACAGGTACAACACAGGTACAACACAGGTACAACACAGGTACAAGGCAGGTACAACACAGATACAACACAGGTACAATGCAAGTACAACAAAGGTACAATGTGTTAACAACACAGGTAGAGCACAGGTACCATGTATGTACAACACAGGTACAACACAGGTACAACACAGGTAGAGCACAGGTACAATGTATGTACAACACAGGTACAACACAGGTACAACACAGGTACAACACAGGTACAAGGCAGGTACAACACAGGTACAACACAGGTACAATACAAGTACAACAAAGGTACAATGTGTTTACAACACAGGTAGAGCACAGGTACCATGTATGTACAACACAGGAAGAATAGAGATACAAGATTTGTACACTATAGGTACAGCACATGAGCAACACAGGTGTAACAGATACAAAACACATGTGCAACACATGACCAAAACATAAAAAAATATGAACAACACACAGGAAACACAATAAGGCAAAACGGTTATAAAGTCAAACACGTGCAGAAATCTTTCTCTGATTTTAGTGAACTGTGTTATATGGTTATTGTAAATTGTAAACAAAACAAATTAGATTATAAAATATTTGTTACAAGCGCTTTATTTTAATTTTTTTTTAAATTCTGAAAAACATGTCCATTATCTTTCACTTTCCTCCCCTCTTTGCCAGAGCTAAATTATTCGGTTATCAAACAAACGAATGTATCTCTATACCCATTCCTAAGGCTATGTGCATTCATAAGAAATATATTAATAAAATGTTACAATATTCTTTTCAATGCCATGCTCTTTTAAAAAAGTTTTAGCTGTAGATCTAACATACAAAATGCACTTTCACTTGTGTGACATAACAGGCGATGTGTAGATGAATTTTATTTAACCAGCACCGGTCTTTGGTATAGTTGCATGCTGTGAGCTAAGCGCTCCTAAGAATTTAATGAATGTATATGTTGGAATAATGTATTAATAGCTGGACCTGAGTGTATACATAGTGAAGCATTTGTGGGGTTTAGTGCTATAGCATAGCCCCTGGTCTTGAGATGTCAGTGTCAATGTCAGTTACCTGATGTCACAAGTGTCACAGGCAGGTATGGACTAGCAAAATGTGACAGTCTACTGTCACACTGTCCCTTACAAATTACCACAATTATATTCGATACAAGGGATATTGGTTGAATAATGAGGTTGCTGAGATCATATTGTGCTGTACTGCTTTACAGTATCCTCTATTTGTTACGAAATGCTTGACTTTTAATACAACAAAGTACTCAGCTGTGTCAACTCTAAGCCTAGTACATATACAGTTCATTTCTTTTTCTATCTAAAGCAACCGTTCGACGCAGCAGTCAAAACTACATCTCCGTACTAACTAATCAAAATGACAACCCTTACTCACTAATGAAAATGACAACCCTGTACTAACTAATGAAAATGACAACCCTGTACTAACTAATGAAAATGACAACCCTGTACTTACTATTGAAAATGACAACCCTTACTCACTAATGAAAATGACAACCCTGTACACATCAATGAAAATGACAACCCTGTACTTACTAATGAAAATGACAACCCTGTACTTACTAATGAAAATGACAACCCTATACCCACCAATGAAAATGACAACCCTGTACCCATCAATGAAAATGACAACCACTCACCAATGAAAGCGTCAACCCTGTACCCACCAATGAAAATGACAACCCTGTACTCACCAATGAATATGAAAACCTTGTACTCACCAATGAAAATGACAACCCTGTACCCACCAATGAAAATGACAACCCTGTACCCACCAATGAAAATGACAACCACTCACCGATGAAAGCGTCAACCCTGTACCCACCAATGAAAATGACAACCTTGTACTCACCAATGAAAATGACAACCCTGTACTCACCAATGAAATTGACAACCCTGTACTCACGAATGAAAATGACAACCCTGTAACCCACCAATGAAAATGACAACCACTCACCGATGAAAGCGCCAACCCTGTACCCACCAATATAAAATGACAACCACTCACCAATGAAAATGACAACCCTGTACTCACCAATGAAATTGACAACCCTGTACTCACGAATGAAAATGACAACCCTGTAACCCACCAATGAAAATGACAACCACTCACCGATGAAAGCGCCAACCCTGTACCCACCAATTTAAAATGACAACCACTCACCAATGAAAATGACAACCACTCACCGATGAAAGCGTCAACCCGGTGCTCACAGCTGTACAAATCCACCACATCCTGCAACCCGGCTCCTACGTCACACGCCGTGGCCTTGACACTGACCGTAAAGTTGAAGGTCGTCAGGCCGGGGTCAGAGTTGATCCTCTGGACGCCCAGCTGTGCGGCGGCCACCGCCTCGTACCCCACCCTCTTCTCCCCGGTGAGGGGCACCAGCACCCCCATGTGTAACGCCGCCTTCTGCCCGGGGGTCACGTTGATCAGCCCGGCAGCCACAAACACCAGCAGTGTGTACTTTGTTGTGGGCGTGACACACTCCATCACGGAACACACCTACCCATGATGCAACTGTAACAAAATATTTTACTTAAACAGCTTTTAACCGAAAATTATATTTCATTGTACATCTATTTTAATTTAACCACGAGTCATAAATATTTTAATAATATTTAAGATCTTAAAATAGTGTACGGATATAATCATCAATTCAATTACAGATAATACAGTTTGCTTGTAACAGTATTACAAATATAGCGATAATATAGTTCTACATGTGTCTCAAAAAGTTTATTTACCATAGTTATATATGCCGTTGAATTGAAAACAAAACAGAAAGCTAATGCTCTACTACCTGTCTAAAAATAGTTCTACTATAATTATATTACCTGTTAAGATATTAAACAAACAGTCTCATATATAGCACACATTTTTAAGGAAATGACAATGGAGAGGTAGAAGAAGACACTTACGACAGAGAGGAGGATATACTTGCTACAAAAAAAATAATACACAGCTCATTGAAAAAGAAGCTATTTGATGAAGTAACAAGCAAAAAGTTAGTCTTTACTTCTTTCTTCTTAATTTTAGTGTTGGAAGGGATCCCCCTCCAACACAATTAAGGTTACTGGGTCAACTGGTTATACGCCATTGAGGCCATTGACTCCGATTTCAGCCTGCTTTTCTTTTTGGATTTGCTTCCATAGCCTTTGTTCAGCCCAGAACAAACTACAAGGCAGCAGTTGTTTGATTTTGAAGTTCCAAGCTAACGAGCCTCATCTGCCCGAGGGTTCGAACTCTGACTTTTCGGTTAAGCAGCCATGAGCTTTACCGACTCGACCACGCCGATCCTAAAGTCTTTACCAATATTTGATATTGACCACAGAAAATGTTCAACGGGGAGGGGGAGGACTGGATGAAAATATTACCTCAAGTTTACTCCGTCTCTCTGAAATTGATCGGTTCAACGGTTAAACAAGCGTGCCCACATCAACCCACTTGCCCGCAGATTAATCTTCTCAATTAAGGATGATTAAATCTTGTTTCAAGGTTCGTTGACCTGAGCACACTAAAAATTTCACACCGTTTTTTATGACTTTTATTTCAAAACGGAGAAGAGGTTTTTTTTTCTTTTTTTTTTTTTAATCACGGCTTTTTTATTTTAAAAACATTTTTGTTAATTTCGCTTGATAACTACGTCAATAGTTAATTTAGTATTTTTTTTCCACATGCTAACTACTATGTACTGAAAACTACAAACTTTATAACATGTATTTTATAGTTGTCCTATTAAATTTTAAACCATGACTCGTAAAACTTTTTTTTAGGTTTTCGCATGCTTACTACTAAGTACTACCAACTACAAGCTTAATAACACATGTATTTTCTAATTTTCACGTTGTTTTTTTTTTTTTTGGTAGATAACTGAGCTGTGACATTATCGTGAATTTTTTTTTCTAGGTTTCCGATTGCTAGGTAGTAGAACTGAAAACTTGCGTTACCTTTTTTTTTTAAATTGCCTACATTTTAAAAATTATTTTTTGATTGCCTGCTACACGACTGCTCGTTACGTTACAAATATTTGCGACTATCTTTTTTTGTCATCTTTCGGTTGTTACATACTTCCTACAAATATTTGCAACTATGTTTTTACTTTCTCGTATATACGAAGTATAGAGAAAGTCTTGTAATCGTGCAAAAAAAAAAAATCGAGATTTTTGCAAATCTCGACGTTTTGCATCTCACTGATACGGAAAAACATAATTTTGCAATCTTGTCCGTATGTCTGTGTGTCTGTGTGTGTGTCTGTGTGTCTGTGTGTGTGTGTGTCCGTGTGTAAACACGATAACTTGAGTACCGTTACAGCTAGGTTGATGAAATTTCATATATAAGTATTTTATCAAAATCGTAGATCCGTATCAACTTTTGAGCGATTTCTGACAACCGGAAGTGGTACTTTTTCTACTTTGAATTTTTCAAAAGCCTATAACTTGAGTACTATTTCAGATAGATAAATGAAATTTCACATGTAAGTAAAAGATCTAATTCTCTACCTTCTGTTAAATTTTGAGTAATTTCCGTTGACCGGAAGTAGTAATTTACGCTACTTCCGATTTCTCAAAAAACTAATGTAAATTTTTAAAGTAATAATAATATTGCGCACTATTATGCGCTTTTTTATTTCGCGTTCACTTGGTGTGCAATTAATTTGTCTACGAGATTTTATTCTATTTTTAAAACTTTAAGTATTTAAAATGGATTAAAAATCATGTCTATAGCCCGAGTTCCCATCCCCTGTTATTTTATATAAGAATATTCGAGAAAGTTTAGGGGAGATCACTCCCGGTTTATTTTACCATCTTTCGGTTGTTACATGCTTCTACTACATGCAGCGTTTCAAACGGTTTCCGGCGCGTCACGCCAAAATAATTGGACTCTCGTTTGATCTCTTTGTTACCGCGAGACTTGTGAGTCGTGGGTTGTGTCCGTGTGTCCCCCCCCCCCCCACACACACACATCCCTACTCCATGTACAGCCGTGTTTACTGATCTGGAACCGAGCTTGTTGAGGAGTGTCATGAGAGTGCAAGGAATGACGTCACTGCCATTTGAGATAACAATAAAAGAAACCAGCCAAATGTTTTTTTTTTAAAGAACAACAAATGTAACACGCTATATGAAGGTAGGGTTTGCACTAGATAAATTAAAACAAATAAACGTAGTTTCTCAAGTGTGTCTACATTTCTTACAGCTAAGTACAGTGCGTATTACAGAGAAAAAAAAGAGTTAGATTAGATTACATTAGGGGTTAGAGCTAGCTTTAGGGTTACTTTTATAGGCAACATTATTTGCATGACCTTGTGGCCAGGTTTAGTACAAAACAAACATTTTTTAAATGTCGAAATTAGACTCTGCGTTTGCATAATTGATAATCGTGTGCCTTACGGACTAAAGCTATCAATATGTATATTTGCTTGAGTGCTCATTATTAATTAGTTATATCTTTGGGGTTTATTACGCCAAATACATGTCATATTGTGTTATTACGTCAATAAATATCCTACATAACATACAATGCTAAGTTGAAAAATCAAGAGCACAATTGTGTAAATGGTAGATAAGTGATGTTTAAGAATATTGCATACAGACGAAAAATAAAAAAAGATTATATTAGATAAGAAATGAGACTTGTAGATAATGATTCTTTTAGGTATGACTGTGAAGTGTGGTATGCTAGACGCAACTGAGTTATAGGCTAATCACAATAGACTGAATGGCTACTGGCAACAGATTGGGAGGCTAGAGAGAAATTTGTTAAAATTTGATCGCATTTACTCAATTCTCTCTGCCGAAAACATTTATTTCCCATAATGCAGCATCATGCCTATAAATAGCCCTTCTAACTGACCGACTCGTTTCAAAAATGGTACGTAGGTCGAGACCCGACGACAATGCAATCTGACAAAAAATATGAGTTAATTGAATGCCACATTAGAATTGTATTAATTAATTAAAATGTACTAAAATTAGTAGTTGTTTGAATTTGTAGTTTTCTCTCCTATATGGGTTGCTGTCCCCAGCTATCGAGCCTCTTCTGCCCGGGGGTTCGAACTTAGGACTTCTTGATTTAGCAAATTTGAGCTTTATCGACCCGACCACTCTGACCCCAAAACAAAGATAAAGTTGCCGGCAAACATCGGCTGCACTAAGTTTACTTAACAGAACCAGTACTTAAGAAAATTAAACTTCCCGAGCTGCCTGATGAACCGTATCGTATAATACACACACAGGCGCCCTCGCGATAGGTCAATGGAATTAGTGAACTGTTAATTACTCACGAGAAGGATATTTATGAAACGTTCGATGATTTAAAAAAGTGACTCATCAATTATTATTTTTACCGCTGATCATCCAAATAGGACTAGAAAATTAGCGTGACCTTCCTTGATAAATAGGCCTATCCCCCGGCTGCCATTAAGAAAGCTCCCATGTATTTTGTCACACAAAAAAATACAGCAAAAAACTATGGTATTTTCCTAAATAGACGAAACTCCATTTGTTGAATTACTTATTTAGCTGTAAGCCTCTCCGTTATACCGTAGGCCTTAAGTCAATTTCCTAATGGGGTCATCGGCGATGTTAATCAATGTGTTTACGTTTAGCTCGCGTCTTCTCAAGTGTGTCTTAATGTCTTAAGTAATCGGGTTGGTCTTTCCTGCTGTTGGCTACATTATACTTAGGGATTAATACACGTGTAGGTATCATTTTAATAATTAGTTTAATTAGCTTCATTAATAAATGAGACAAAGTAATTTATTTGAGTGTTTTTTTTATTATAATATTCTGTGTGTAAACCTGTAAAGTAATCAAGTTCATAAGAGCTTAGCGGGTAAAAAAAATATACTTGTTAAATCTAAAATAATTGCCTCATTTATTCATTTAGTTGGGAGTAAAAATTATAAGTGGGGAGGGGGGGGGGAGTGTAGGCTTACTACTTCACGACAATATATGTGTTGGTTCTTAAATGGTTGAAAATGTACAACAAATAATATGTTTCATTCTGCAATGTTGTTTGAAGTAGCGTTACAATTACCAGGGTGGGGGTCAATAAAACAGGTCAGACACATCAGCTGATTGCTGGGCTGTAATGATACAGTTGCAGAGGCGTAGCAAGGGGGGGGGGGAGGGCGGGGGGGGGGGGTGCGGAACGCACCGGGTGGTACCATTTAGGGGGGTGACACCAAGGTAAAAAATAGCAAAATATATAGAGAAAAACTTGAGGGGGGGGGTGCAAATCGAAAATTTGAAAGTTTGTCCCCGGGAAGGGTCACTACGCCTATGGGGGGGGGGGTGACACCATTAAGTGCCGCACCGGGTGACACCCGACCTCGCTACGCCACTGTACAGTTTAACAGACATAGATACCTATATAGATACTTTATATCTTACAAAGATATAAACACTAAATTAGGTCAACGGGGAATAAACATCAAGTCTGTGTTTGGGGGGGGGGGGGGGTGTTATATTGACAATGTATTGCTTAGT